TGAATGACTGGTGAATGATAATCCAGTCCAGTGAAAAGCAGCCACCAAGCACCAAACTCTGTCTGTCTGTGCATTGTACTTGCAGCAGAATCTTCTACAGTCTAGACAACCACCTTCCATGCTCAGTGTCGTTAAAACTTAACCTAGCAAAAACCATCCACTGTGGTTCTGTACTTACGTTTGCAATAACTCAAATTTCAAAAAGGCCAACTTTATTAATATATTTCACCATTCTGAAAATTATGTCTTCAGTTTTGCATTATTCTCTTTTTTTTTTCTTTTCTTATATTATCCAAAATTCAGACCTACCAGTAACCACAATATTTAGAAACTTACTATCGCTGGCATTCCCCTCAGATTCAATTTCAAAAGTGTTATTCCAATGATTTTACAATGTATTCAAATGCATTTTATTTATATAGTGTGGTCACATGCCTTATTTTATTTAAATTTTAGAACTGTATTAGATAAACTCACTGTAGATAACTAAGGAAACTTAGGCTCAGGGGATTTATGAAAATTATCCAAATTTACCTGGCTGGTAGGTAGCTGATTTGGACCTTAAAATAAAAAAATTCTTCGTTTAGATATTTGGATGAGACATCACATCATAAATGCTTTGATGAATTTTTATGCGAGGAAAATTTTGCCTTCTTTGCCCTCTTCTTAAGTAGAAGATAGTTACAGTCATCCAAACTTTCCACAGTTAAAATTCAAGATTAATATCATACTACCTTTTGTTTTCCTACAAAGTTGTATGAACAGATTTTTTTCATAGCTAGTTTCTCACTGTTTTCTGAACAGATACTGTTCATTTTCACTTAAAGTGTAGATTCTATGATTATTCTATGTGCACAGTGGTAATAATAAAATGTATTAAATGATGTTAAAGCTTCTCAATTAAAAAGTCATAGAGCTGGACAAAGTAGAGCTGAACTAAGATTGAGACCTGGGACCAGGGCTGCATATAGCCATGCCACCACTGGGCTGACTAGCAGTGAAGCTGTCTCTGTAAGTAAATTCACCAGCAGCAAAACCACCAGTTTCTTCTACCGCTGCACTGTCCAATTAGCTAGCTACTATCCCCATATGGCTATTCAGCACTTGAACCGTGGCTAGTCTGAACAAAGATGTGCTGTAAAACACACCCCAGATTTCTAAGACTTAGTCTGAAAATGATGTAAATTAGCTCATTATTATTTTATATTGGTTACATGTTGAAATGATAATATTTTGGATGTATTGAGTTAAAATATACTAATTAAATGAGTTTTATGTTTCTTTTTACTTTTTCAGTGTGGCTACTAGGAAAATAAATATGTGGCTTGTATTTGTAAGTTGCAATACATTTCTGTTGGACAGTGCTGCTCTGGGAGATTTGTATTTGCTTTGCTCAATTCATGCATTTCTATTATTTGAATTACATAGGTAAAACTTATACACTTAACCACTCAAAAACAGTGTATGTGGCTCTGCTAACATCTTCAGTCTCTCCTTGATTCCAAATCTCTTAATAGAATCCCTGCTAACAATTTGCCATATTCCATGTTTTCCCTTTGCTTTTGCAAATGTATTAATATAAATATGTATGCACATAGATATATATAGGTTATGGTTTCATTATTGGTTTTTCAAGAATTGGATCACCCTATACCTATAACTCAGTGACTTTTTTTTTCATCTAACAGTGTACCATGGAAACCTTTTCTAAAGTAATTTAATATAGCAGAAAATTTGAATCCATCCAAAGAAATTCCTTCACTAGCTATTTTACCTACTGAAATATAATATTATCACATGCTATTTCTAAAACCACTATGGAAAATCTGCTTATCAAAGAAAACACACAGTTTTTAAGTGATGAGGAGTACTTGATAGACATCAAGGTGTTTCTGAAAGGCAAGTATTTTCATTTCTGTCCTCTGGATACAATCTTGCAGGGCTCCCTATTTCCCCTGCCATTCAATGCTGATTCCATAGCATGGCCTTCATAAAGAGGCCCCAGTTTCTGTACCAGCATCATTTCTTAACACCATTCTGACTCACACTAAACTTTAGCCATTCTGAACTTCGTTTAGCCATAGAAGACTTAATATTGCTCTTTTCCCCCAAATTTGCAAACACCATTACTCCAGCCTTGAATAAAATTTGTACCATTTTTTAAAAATTTTTAATCCAAGATTTTAATTATTATAATTCCAATCGACCTATTTTGTAGCTTCCTTTATGCTTAATTGTTTTACCAAATTACTTTTTTCTTATAGGTGATCTTTTCCTGAGCCTACAGATAGTGAACCAGGTTTTCCCTGTGGGAGTAAGAGATGCTCCACATTGACATGCTTTCAGGGCACCAGTGTACTCTGAGAAGCTCAATTAGTCCCAGGAAGTAACTCACTGTGCTGCTTCAGCATTCAGCATGCAAAATACCCTGTGGATTAGAGGAAGGCAGGAAGCTGGTACCTTTTCATAGCTGCTGTGGGGTGACTTGCAAGTCAGGCACTTTATCTCTTTAAATCTCAGTTGCTGATATTTAAAGTTTCTGGATGAAAATGTCCCATCTATCTCTAAAATATAAAACTATGTTAAATCATCCTTCTAAAGTTAGAAGTGCCAAATAAGAAAGTGGAAATGTAGGAAAAATGAAGGCACCATAAAATATTCAGTGCATGATTATTTCTTCCATTTTATTTAAAATAAACTTTAAAAAATGTTTGAGATCATTGTAGATTCATATTCAACTGTAAGAAACAATACAGACATAGCTCATGTGCCATTTACCCATTTTCCCCCAATGGAAACATCTTTCAAAAACTATAGTACAATATCACATGCATTTAATCCACTGGTCTTACTCAAATTTCCACAGCTGTACTTGTGTGTATGGACTTGTGTGTTTATTTAGTTCTATACAGTTTTACTGCAAATACAGGTTTGTGTATTCATAACCATAGATAAGACATAGAAAATTTTCATCATCACAAGAATCTCAGGTATTGCCCTTTTATAGGCATATCTCAGAAATATCATGAGTTTGGTTCCAGACCACTTCAATAAAGGGAATATCACAATAAAACAAGTAACACAAACTGGTTTCACAGTGTATATAAAAGTTATGTTTACACTACACTGTAGTCAAGTGTGCAATAGCATATTTATTAAAAAACCAATATCTATACCTTAATTAAAAATATTTTATGGCTAAAAATTGCAAATGATCATCTGAGCCTTCAGCAAGTTGAAATCTTTTGCTGGTGGAGGGTTTTGCCTTGATGTGGACGGTGCTGACTGATCAGGGTGGTGGGTGCTGAAGGTTAAGGAGGTTGTGATGATTTCTCAAAATAAAACAACAATGAAGTTTGCCACATCAGTTGACACTTCCTTTCACCAAAGATTTCTCTGTTTGATAACATTTTACCCACAGTAGAACTTCTTTCAAAATTGCAGTCAATACTCTCAAATCCTATCAACTAAAGTTTACGTAATATTCTAAATCCTTTGTTGGTGTTCTAACAATGTTCACAGCAGCTTCACCAGGAGTAGATTCCATCTCAAAAAATCACTTTATTTGGTCATCAATAAAAAGCCACTCTTCATCTGTTCAAGTTTTATCACAAGACTACAGCAATTCAGTCACATCTCCAAACTCTGCTTCTAATTCTAGTTCTCTTGCTATTTCCACCACATCTGCAGTGACTTCCTCCACCGAAGTCATGAAGCCCTCCATGGGATTTGGAATCAGCTTCTTCTAAACTCTTGATTTTGCTATTTGGACCTCCTCCCATGAATCACAAATGTTCTTAATGGTATGTACAGTGGTGAATCCTTTCTGGAATATTTTCAATTTACGTTGCCTCGATCCATCAGAGGAATCTTATCTATGGCAGCTATAGCCTTACAAAATGTATTTTTTAAATAATAAGACTTGAATATCAAAATTAATCCTTGCTCCATGGGATACAGAGGGGCATTGTATTAACAGGCATGAACACATTTAATCTCTTTTCACATCTCCATCAGAGCTCTTGCGTGAGCAGGTACATTGCAAATGAGCAGTCATATTTTGAAAGGAATCTTTTTTTCTAAGCAATAGGTCTCAACAGTGGGCTTAAAATGTTCACTAAATCATGCTATAAACATATGTGCTATCGCTCGGGCTTTGTTGTTCTATTTCTAGAGCACAGACAAAATAGTATAATTCCTAAGAGCCCTAGGATCTTTGGAATGGTCAATGAGCATTGGCTTCAACTTAAAATCACCAGCTGCATTAGGCCCTAACCTTTCCTTTTAATCTTTGAAGCCAGGCATTGATTTCTCCTCTCTAGCTATGAAAGTCCTAGATGGAATCTTCTTTGAATAGAAGGCTGTCTACACTGAAAATCTGCTGTTTAATGTAGCCACCTTCATCAATGATCTTATCTAGATCTTCCTTGTAGCTTCTACATCAGGACTTGCAGCTTTCCCTTGTACTTATATGTTATAAAGATGACTTCTTTCCTTAAACCTCACAAACCAACGTCTGCTAGCTTCAAACTTTTCTTCTGCAGCTTCCTCACCCCTCTCAGCCTTCAGAGAATTGAAGGGATTTAGGGCCCTGCTCTAGATTAAGCTTTGGCTTAAGGGAATGTTGTGGCTGATTTGATCTTCTATCCAGACCACTCAAACTTTCTTCATATCAGCAATAAGGCTGTTTTGCTTTCTCATCATTCTTGTGTTACTGCAATAGCACTATAGCACTTTTCATTTCCTTCAAGAAATTTTTCTGTGCTGTTTGGTGCAAGAGGCCTATCTCAGTTTTCAACATGTCTCCCTCCCTAAATCACTAAATTTAATCATTTCTAGCTTTTGATTTAAAGTGAGAGATATGTGACCCTTCCTTTCACTTGAACACTTAAAGAGGTTTGTAGGGTTATTAATTGGCTTAGTTTCAATATAGCTGTTTCTCAGAGAGAGGGAGGCCTAAGGAGAGGAAAAGAGATGGGGGAACAGCAGTCAGAACTCACCCAACTTTTGTCAGTTAAGTTCACCATCTGATATGGGCGTGGTTTGTGGTGCTCCAATATAATTACAATAGTAGCATCAAAGATCACTGGTCACAGATCACTACCGTAGACATAACAATAATGAAAAGGTTTACAATATTGTGAGAATTACAAATATATGACATAGAGACACAAAATGAGTACATGCTGTTGAATAAAAGGTGTTTTTTCAGTTTGTAAAAGATGCAATATCTGTGAGGCACAATAAAGTAAGGCATAGTAAAATGAGATATGCCTGTATAATCACATTCATTTCCTATCCTCACCCATCTCTAACCCCTGACAACCAATAATTTGTTGTCCATTTTTATAATTTTGTCATTTAAAGACAAAACATTTGTCAGTGTTATATAAGTAGAATCATAAAATACGTAATCTTTGGGGGTTAGTGTTTTTATTCAACATAAATCTCTGGAGATTCATCCAACTTGTTTATATCTGTCAATAGTTGATCTCTTTCCTATTGCTGAATCTAATTTCATGGTATGGATATAATAATACAGTTTGCTTAGCTCTTCACCCATTGAAGGATAACTAGGCTGTTTCCATTTTTTGGCTATTACAAATAAAACGGATATGTACAGGTCTTTTTGTGAACATAAATTTTATATCTCTGGGATAATTGCCCGGGACTACAGTTGCTGGTAGTATAATGGTCACATAGTTGGTTCTATAAGAAATAGCACACCTGTATCCAAGTGTGCTGTACCTTTTATATACTCAACAACAACACTGAGTGTTTCAGTTTCTCTACATTTCTTTTGGTGTTGGTATCGATTTGTATTTTGCCCATTCTAATTGGATATAATCTCAATGTGGTTTTAATTTGCATCTTTACTGATGGATAAATGATTTTAAACACCATTTCTTGTACTTATTCCCCATCTGTATGCCATCATAGTGAAATGTTTATTCATGTTTTTGTACATTTTTTAGATTGTTTATGTGTTTGTTTTTAACATTAACTTTTGAGAGTTCTTTCTATATTTAGATACTAGTCATTTGTCAGATATGTTTTGCAAATATTTTCTCCTAGTGTGCAACTTATCTTTTCATCCTCTTAACAGGCTTTCCACAAACACACACACACACAATTTAATTTTGATTAAGTTCAATTTTTCAATTTACTTTTCATAGAAATTCTAAAAACTCATTCCCTAGGCCCTAGTTCATAAAGATTTTTCTCCCATGTGTTTTTTCTAATGGTTTCATACTTTTATGGATTATATTTAATCATATCATTTTCTTGTATTTTTATTCCAAGTATTAATACATTTAAGTATCATACATAAATATTTACAGAAGAAAAATCACCTGAAGGAATAGAATCGCATACACATACACAGAGGAAGGATGAAGGGAATGTTGACAGGCTAGCATGCGGGAGTAGTGCAATGGGGTGACAAGGCGAAAGATAAATCATTTTTATGAGACCAAAACTGACCCAGTTACCCAGAGATGATAGCCAGACTTTTCTGAATTTTGCAAAAACAATAAAGCTCAAGTAATTTTTCAATTCCGTTACATTTCTCCCAACTTCCTGAACCAGATGGAGAAGAGGTGAATATGAGAAAAACTGCTCCAAGACTGAAAACCAGAAATAAATATAGAATACAAGCCTCTTCACAAAATTCAATTGCCATTTGAAAAGCTGAGATTGCAGAAATAGGACATGACCTCCTGTGTTCTGAAGAATAATCACTGAATTTGAAGCTGATATGTAGGTACTATTGAAACCACCAACCATTTGTTTAAAATGCCTCTCTTTGGCTTTGATAGTGCACAACAATGAAAGAAAATAACAAGAAAAGGAAAAAAAATGTAATGTAATTCACTGGTGTAAACTTAATCAAACTAGACTAATGACATTATAATTATATGAGAATATATATAAAGCATTAAACAAAACAATTTAGTGCACAACAAAAATATAAACATTTAATGATAAAGAGTAGTGGCATAAAATTCCCATGTTAATTAAAATAATCTCTGAGGCTTGCATTAGAAAGGAAAATTATCTTTGGCACATATAAAAATTCAGACTAGAATTTTGGCTAAGTCATTATGATATACTATCATAATGTTTTTATTCTCAGATGATAATATGGCAATTAACTGAATTGCTTTCTCAATGGAAACAATTGGAATTCTTCTCTTATGAAATTTTAAGTTGCCACTTTTTACAAAGCACACAGTTAGAAATTGTAACTCAATTTATAAGATGATCTGGATCTCTAATTTGGCTTTCACTTGCTATTATTTCCCATTTTACCATCAAATTAGAGATATGACTCTATAATAAACAATGGAAATAAAAAGATAAAGAATATTTTCTGGAGGATCTGACAATGTTAAGTCTAGAAACTTACATTTTGCATTGCAAGAGATCAGAAACATATTGCCCTTCTCTATACAGCTGGTGCTTATCAGCCAGGGTTTGCAGAATATACATCTTTTTCTTTCTATCAAACCATGTGAAAGGGACTATTTTGTTAAATGAGGTATGTGTTTCTATTTTCTTTGAGATAGAAGTGTCATAAAAAATATAGAAAAGGTACCCCTTTTCATCTCATGCCTAGAATAAGCTTACTTAATCATTGATACATTGATCATTTAGCAACTTCATATTTTGCCCTAGCCACCTGGTTGGTAAATTGCCCTTTGCAAAAATTGCTCCTTCATTTAGAAACATTGATCAAGCATACATTTTGTGACAGGCATTGTAATACATGCTGAGAATAAAATAATAAAACCAAAATTATTGAACTAGAAAATGATTAATTCTCTGGCAATAATAATTAAGTATGATGATCATGGTGTCTCTGGAGAGAATCTAGGAGTGGTATCTAACCCAGTATTAGCTACCGAGAACAAAAGATGTCTGTCATTTCCTAAAGATGAGTAATAGTCATTCAGAAGTTGATCTTTATCCTGGGCATAATTGGGAGTCATTAAAGAATTTTATGTAGGAGTTTGTCATGACAAAATTCTCTTGAAGTATAGATGAAAGGAAATGTGGAAATAATCACATTTACACTAGAAAATTAAAAAGAATTGAGTCCTTTCAATTCTGAAAAAGAGGTTTTTTTTTTTTTTTTATTTCACTCAATAGTTTTGAATAACCTAACCTCCAATATGCAGACATTAAGTTGGGAATAAATTTTTCTAAAGCAAAACATATCCATACAATTCTCATTAGCTTTATATTCTATGTTTTAAAAACTTAATGTTTTATATTGATAGGAATGAGGTTTCTGGACATTCTTAATCACCTAAAAAATAATTGTATTTTCTCAATAGCTTTATTGAAATATAATCCACATACCATACAATTAATCCACTTAAAGCATATAATTCAGTGGGTTTTAATATATTTATATGTATATGCAATCATCATCGCAATCAAATTTACATTTTTATCACCTCAAAAAGAAACCCCGTACTCTTTAGCTATCACTATCTATTCTTTTACTCCAGTCCGCTACACCCCTAAGCAATCACTAATTTTCTTTCTGTCCTCTATATATTTCCTGTTCTGGATTTTTGCATGAATGGGATATATATGTGGTATATTGTGACTAGCTTCTTTCACTGAGCATAATGTTTTCAAGTTCATCCATGTGGTAGCATGTGTCAGGACTTCCTTCCTTTTTACGGCCAAGTAACATTCCATTATATGAACTTACCACATATTTTATTGATCCATTAGTCTGTTTATGGGTATTTGAATTGTCTTCACGTTTTGGCTATTATGAATAATGCTGCTATGCACACCCATATGAAAAGTCTTGCAGACCTTTTTTTTTTCTCATTTATTTTGGATAATAGCTAAGAATCATTTCATTGCATCATAGAACACTTTATATTTAATCATTTGATGCAATGCCAGACTTTTCCACAGCAGTTTCACCATTTTACATTCCCACTAGCAATGAATGAGAATTCCTATTTCTCCACACATCAACACTTATTCTCTGAGTTTTGATTCTAGTCATCCTAATGGGTAGGCAATGGTATCATATGTGCTTTTGATTTGCATTTCCCTGATAAATAATGATGCCAAGCTTTTTTTCTGTGCGTATTGGCCATTTGTATAACTTCCTTGTAGTATAGAAATATCTTTCAGATACTTTGTCCTACCTTAGTTGGATTGTATTTTATTATTGAATTTTTAGAGTGTTTTAATACATTGTACATTGTACATAATACATTGTACATTTAATACATTTTAAAACATTTAATATATAGACTGATAGATAAGAGAAACTGGAAAGGGTATATGGGCAAGAAGGGGAGATATAAAGAGGTTGGATAGTGGGTACAACCACATAGTTTGACAGAAGAAATAAGCCCCAGTATTCAATAGCAGAGTAGGGTGAATATAGTTAGCAACAATATATTACAGATTTCAAAATAGCTGAGACAGAAGACTTGAAATGTTACCAACACATAGAAATAATAAATGCTCAAGATGATGGATACCCCAAATATCCTTACTTGATCACCACACATTATATGAATGTAACAAATACTCATATGTATTTGAATGTAACAAATACTCATATGTATTTGTTACCCCATATTTACGCCATAAATATGTAAAATATTTTCTATCAATAAAAAATTTGTACTTCTTTCATTAAATTTATTCTAAGTGTTTTATTCTCTTTCATGCCATTGGGAATAGAACTATAATTATCTTTTAAGATTCTCAAAAGTCTGAAATTACTAGTAGACAAATACATATAAAGAAATTTATCAATGCTCTAATTACATTCATTAAAGATTAGTTAAAGTAAGATTTTCATCACTGGTTATTTCAGAATTTTTCTCTAACTAATAATGCAACCCCTGGGGAGTCAATCTCTTTTATTGATAAAGCTATTTAACTGCTCCAATTGTTTTGAAGGTGGTACTTATAAGTGCCAAGAATAAATAAATATTTAAGCACAGAATCCCATATTTATGTTTAGAGTTTTACTTAATAGTTTTATTTTAAGTACTATGTCTAGTATCTATGTAACTTTTGCTAATTTAAATTACAGTGTGGTTAAATGTGTT